AATAAATATGAACAGAATACATACCAGTCACGACATCGGGTGCTGCACTAACCTCCTCTGCTATCAGCTGGAATGCTCTCCCTCGCACCTTTGGCGCCTCGGCCTTCACCAGCTGACCCTCAATAGCTTGCGTAGCAGCAGTGATAGATCCCTGAGGTGTCCCATGTGCTGTCCCCCTCAACTGTGGACACTCAGCCTTCCGATGTCCGATCTGGTTGCAATGAAAGCAAACCATGAACCCCTTTGGGGCAATCCTTGGCGATATGCCCCTCCTTGCCACACTTGTAGCAAGCACCAGACCTACAAACCCCCTCATGACCTTTGCCACACTTCCCGCAAGTGCGGCCCTTCTGTCCCCCAGATCTCGAATCGGCGGGCTTTCCCCGCTTGGCCGCCGGCTGAGACTGTGTCGGTCGGCGATCCCTGCTCTGAGACTCGACCTCCTCCCTGGCCTGAGTCTCTAGCTCAATCTCCCTCTTTAGGGTATTTTCCTGGATCTCAGCAAATGTTCGGTATGATGACTTTGCCGCGAACTCACGAATGTCTCTCCTCATAACGCTCAGATATTGGCTCATGCGTGCCTGCTCGGTCGACACGTGCTCAGGGCAGAACATCGCCCTCTCATGAAACATCCTGGTAATCATAGTAACTAACTCCGTACCCTGCTTGAGGGTCAAGAACTCTTGAGCCAATCGTTCCCTTTCCACCGGGGGAACGTACTCGTCTCTGAACATGGCGGTGAACCTCTCCCAGGTCACCGCTGAAATCTACGCATAACTAAGATGCGTTGTCAAAACTGCCACCAGTCCTTCGCTCCCAAGCGAAGCTGGTTCAGCGCAAACCGAACCCTCAGATGATCTGGACACGAACAAGTCTAGAAGCATCCCTTAATGTCAGATATCCATCTCATCGCAGCAATCGGGTCTTGTGTCTCGTCAAACTCTGGTGGCTTCGTGTTGCTGAACTCCCGGTACAACAACGAGTCACCCCCTATGGCCTGGCGGCAGCGACAGCTGCAGTGGCCGCAGCAACAACAACATCAGTAAGAGCAGCGTACCGCTCATCAAAGGTCTCAATCAATGTGGTCTTAATAGACCCGAACATCTCTAAAACCTCAGCTCGGACGGCAACAACCACCTCCTCATGAATCATCTGGCGGAGCTCCTCATTGTTCAAACCTCCCTCGCTGGTCTCTGGTCTGTGGCGCGTCCAAACCATGATGTCTCTGAAATACAACATAAAAATATCACGGACTCGCTCGAGTATACCCGCACTCGATAACCCAACCCTTCTTGATTCCTAGTACCCTAAGGAATCCTACTTGGGCTGCACACTGATCCGGTGTTTCCAGTAGTACGGGCCTAATACTACCTTCCACACCGTACCAGTATTCATCCCAAGTCACAAGTACTCTATCTGCTCCACACATAAACTACCCTTCGGTAGACTCTCATAGCACCTCACTGCTATTTACTCATTCTAAAACATCCCATGGTAGCAGAAATCTTCCTAGGCTAAGGCATCACAAATCAGACCACTCTAGTCCTAATATGAATACCTAGCCTAATCTGTCATGCATAATACATTTCAATATATATATATATATATATATATATATATATATATATATCATAACACATAATCTAAGGGTAATTTAGGAAATCACCGTTCTGGCGCTGGCTGATCATACACACTGTTTCCTTGAGCATCTTCCAAATCCTTTTACTCTTTAGAAAAATTGTTTATTTTATAAAAATCTTTCTCAAATCCTCAGTTTGAGTTCAAATACACCCAAAGGTGAATCTGAATCCCTCAAACTAAGGCTCTAATACCAATTTGTAACACCGTTAAATTTCAAACAATTTTTCATTTGATTTTAATAAAAACATTTCATTTCCAAATCATCCCAAAATCGAATATCCAATTTTTTTCAACAAAAACACAATACAAATCCAAATTCCAATGTCTCAAAACATGTCATCTACAAGTGTGTACGGATCATGTCGACGCCTTCCCGCAATCATCACTGGTACCTGAAACATATAACACACAAACGGTAAGCATAAAAGCTTAGTGAGTTCCCCAAAAAACCACATACAACACATACGCCTTTCCAGGCCATAACTCTATAGGATCTTCTGATCCAAGTGTCTCAGGGTATTTCCATCCTATAACTTTGTTGACCTTCCGGTTCATACTCTGTTGACCTTCCGGTTCATACTCTGTTGACCTTCCGGTCCATGTCATCCTGACCTTCGGTCCACATCATCATAATCATATCATAACATATCACATATACAACATGAATCACATATTCACCATACACATAAGACCTTCCGGTCACACATAATTACCCCCATCGGGTAAGACATAGTGAGAAGACTCACCTCGCTGATGTCGGATAATCACTCGAGCTCGATTCCCCAATGTATCGCCTCCTATATCATAAGTTCATCTCTAATTATACCTTCCTAACTTAGTTTGAATAACACTATTAAGTCAACTCTAGTTAACCATGGTCAACGCTGGTCAACGGTCAACCTTTGACCCGACTCGTCGAATCTTGCATAGACTCGTCGAGTCCATACGTGAACTCGAGTCCTTTGAATCCCTTCTGACTCACCAAGTCACTTACCCAACTCGGCAAGTCATCCACTGATCTGAATCACGGGACAACCCGCTCCGACTCATCGAGTCTGCTCATGGACTCAGCGAGTTCGTTTCATTCACAACCTCAAACACCCTTCTGAGGTCAGATCTATTCCTATAATCCTTAGATCTAACCTTTCCAAGCTCAATAATCACGTAAAGTCTCTATCTTGATGTACATGCAACATCTATATAACCATGTATGATGATTTAGCCCCAAATACCACAACCCAAGGTTATAACCTCCATTACTCTCCATAAAGCTTGATGAGTGAGGCTCTCTGGACCTCTATGGATCCAGATCCAAAGCCTCATCACCAGAAAGGGACTATTAGACATCAAATCAACCTAACAAAGGGCACAAGAAACCCTAAATCCATATATACTTCATAAAACAGAAGATGAACTGAATTTAATACCTCAAATGCGATGATCTTAGCCTTAAATCCACATAATAGCAACCTCCTTTGCTTCCTCTTGGCTAAGACCTCCTTCTTCTTGCTAAACAACACCACAAAGGTCAAGAATGGCTTCCTTTCTCTCTCAAAACGCTCAAGCACTCTAGGGTTTCTCTCTATGGACTGGTAGCCGAAAATAAAGGCCATAAGGGCCTTTAAATAGGTCCCAAACCCGAGAAATTAGGGTTTCTTTCTTCAGCTCTGACTCGGCGAGTCACTCCCCTGACTCGTCGAGTCCCCTCATTAACCACATCATCCAGTCGCAACCAAACTCGATGAGTCTGAGCACCAACTCGTCGAGTCACCCTACATAAATAAAGAATTGCAACATAAATCAATATACTTGGGAAACTGGGTGTTACACTCAGATCCCGACGCTCGGCCGCCACAGTCTAGCTCAGGCCAAGAGGCCCTAAATAACAATCCAAAACAGTACCAACCGCTTCTCAGAAGCAACAAGTGTAGCGTTCAGAATGCTGCCCTGCGGTGGTTCTGCACTAATAGCAGATAACCGCTAATGATGCACAACCCACCAATAGGACATCTCCATGTCGCGTCGGTCTAGATAAGACAAAGGTACTATCGGGGTCATGCTCCCCAACGATAGGTATAAAAGAGATCCTTCTCCTCCAGAAGAAGGGATAGCCTCTCTCACTATCTTAAATTAAACCATAGTTCTCTCATACAACTACTGACTAGACCATCGGATTCTCGTTACTAGACTCCCTCCTGGACGACGACTAATGTCGGTTCTTTCTTTGCGGTGATTCTCAAGAAAAACAACCATGAACATCGTTAAGCTCAGAGACATATCACAACATTTGGCGCCATTTGGACGTGTATTCAGAGCTACACAACCTTAAAACGACCCTAGACGGCAGCAATGACAGGAAAGACATCTATGACGTCCAACGGGGGAGAAACGATCTCACTCAGATCAATTTCGTCGCTTGATTACACTCAACCATCTATCTTAGATGGACAAGCCTCTACCCACACTCCAACAACATAGATGCCTGGTCCAATATTAGGAACGAAAACGCCAACGATAACTGCCATATGGTAACCGTTGTCTGTTACACAGAGCAGCCAATTACAACTGTAGTTGTAGCATCTCAGTCAGCAACGATTTAGCTGTCGCAACTAGTGGTTTGCCTGTCGCAATCACCGACCCAACGATCATAGTGGTCGACTCAACTGTCACAACTGGTAACTCTTGGCCGCAACCGTTACCACAAAAAAGGCGGCAACCATTTAGTTCCCACAGACCATACCATCTTCTACGCAATCTGTAAAGTCGAGATACCAGTTTTCTCTAGTGGTAGGCACACCAACATTTTATGTAAAAGAGCCACCACGACTCAAATCTTACATAAACCAAACCCATGAAACCCTTCCTCAGGTGCGTATTGTTGCTGGGACAGAAAAACAGCAACTAGCAAGCAACATCTTCGACATCGGAAACAATTGGAAGCCCAAATTCATTATCGATAAGGGGAATATCAGGGTCCGAAAGGGCGGTAACAAACACCAAGATCCTAAGAACGAGGTTCTTACCATCAAAAGACCGCACAAGAGGTATGAGCGCCGAGAGGTCAACGATGATGTGGAAGTATTATCTAGAAACCTCTTGAACATCAACTTCTCATAAGAGGACCCGAGGCCAAGCGATTGGAAACCCAAGATCTGCTCCAAATTACTGCTTGTATACGCCAAAAACAAATCCATCTCATTTACATAGATAATGGTAGTAGCACCGACATCCTCTATGAACATTGCTTCTGATAGCTGTCAAGTTCCTGGAAGGAGGACCTGAAACCACCAACATGCGGCCCTTTGATCGGTTTCATAAGATACAGTCTATGGCCATTGGGCATTATAAACCTCCCGTTCATGTTGGTTAGCCATGACGGGAATGAAGGCATCACACAAACAATAGAGTTCTCAGTAATCCTTCAAGTAAGTTTGGTGCAAAAATTCATATATTGGTTGAATACGTTAGCAAATCTGCATCGTGAAGGTAAGATAGTCGTGTTACAGCCTTAGAAATTCAACAAATAATTTTCTTTGTTGATTCAAATCAACAGTTCAACTTCAGTTTAATCTTTCAACTCATTTTAATCAAAAGTGTTTTCACATCTACAAAACAAAACTTTAACATAATAAGTATCATATATCTCAATTTAAAACCAAAATACAACTAAAAATACCAAACAAAACTTTAACATAATAAGTATCATATATCTCAATTTAAAACCAAAATACAACTAAAAATACCAAGACCTCACATAAAACACAAGAACATAAATGACGACATGATTAGTCTTGTCCTAAATGCTCGTTTAAAGAATTTGAAATAAAAATCATTGTATTTTTTAACAAATTATATATAAAGAGAATGCTAATTTTGAAGAAAAATTAAGTAAATATAATTTTAAAATCATGTTATAAATTTAAGTTAAATAAATAATCTAACCATCAATAAATTAAAGAAATCTGAGTATTTTATTTTAGTTATAAATTTATAATATAAATAGTTTATCAACGAGTATGAAGATACATAAATTTTATATATAATTTGCATACAAAAAACATGATTTTAGTTAATTTTATTTTATACAACCTACTCTAAAATCAATGTTCAGAATTTTATATTAATAAAAAAAAACAATTACTAAGCTATGCTTTATTTAAAATAAATTTTGACTAAAAACATTGGTTTATTTATTGCATTGATTTTTTTACTGCAAAAGCATCTTAATTTGTAGACCCACCCACGCTATGTCTACTCCAAACAAGTCCCTTATTAGAAAAAAGTAAAGCTATGTGGTTCAATGGGCTGCAACCCCCTACACCAAACACACACAAACACACAAAACACACACTAAACAAAATATATGTTAAACATATGTCATCTCAAAATATTAATGGATCTCAAAGTCCATATCCAATCCGCTTTTATTTTTATTCCCTTTTGTGAATTGTGATTTCACATTTTTTACAAAGACCCTTATCGTCTTCTTCCTTGGCTTCCCCCAACAAACCCCAATTCCAATAGTCCAATTCGCTTTCTCGGGTTCAAGCCCAATCTCTCATCTTTCTCTCTCCTCCCAACTTTCTCTCTCCTCGAAGAACCCCTCTCCGGATCTCGATTTCACCGGATTCAGATCGGTGTTTTCGCCGCTGCAGCTGCTGTTATCGGTATAATTTTAACCCATACTCTTAATTCGCTGTTTTCTGCTTCGATTGATGTTTTTTTTTTATGGGTTTCTGGTGTTTGACCTGTTGATTGATTAATTAGTATGCTTCAGTGTTAAATTGCTTGAATCCGAACATGTTTAGTTGATTAATTGATTAATTGATCGTTATATATAGCTCCATTTGGTATGGATTTTTGATGTGTTGACCTCTCTGGGCTTAATTCTTTATCTTTCTAAGAGGAAACCCTAGATCTGTTCAGATGAACTTGTTTCAGCCCATGGATGTTGAGATTCGTCCTGTTTGACCCGAATTCCGACAAAGATAACGGACTTCTCTATGTGCCCATGAAGGGTATTTATGTAAATTAGACTCTCTCCTTTAATTCAACTGAACCACATCGAGTTACATCGAGTTCTCCTGTTATGGTGAAGATGGACTTAAAGTGGTTGGCCCAATTCGGTGTTCTTTTAAAGTATAAGTCTTCATGCTATACGGGTTTGTACCTTGTTCATACATATGTGTACTTAACATAAGATTTGTGTTTCTCTTCAAGTCCATGTACACTTTTGTACATAAAGACTACAACCTGCAAATTGTAATACAATAATTCTTCCTCAGAAGAATTGTCAATATGAATTTGAACATTAAATAGTTAAAAAAAAAAAAAATTGCAATTAAACCTTGTTGTCTATTTGTAAAGGTATTCATGGAGTCACTTCCCACTGAAAACAACGCATTGGTCAACATGGAGATGCAGCCGGTCTTCCTAGACGCGCAAAACATGGAATCGCAACCCAACAAACGCCGAAAGAAGAAATCAATCGTATGGGAACACTTCACAATCGAAAACGTGGGCCCCGGTTGTAGACGCGCTTGTTGTAAACAATGTAAACAATCATTCGCATACAGCACAGGTTCAAAAGTCGCCGGAACAAGTCACCTGAAACGCCACATCGCCAAGGGCAGCTGCCCGGTTGTCCTCCGTAACCAAAACCAAAACAACCACCCCGACCTGTCATCACCATTCACCACCCCACAACCACCAAACACCGCCACCGAAACACCCAAGCGCCGCTACCGGACCGCCTCTGCCGCCCCGTTCTTCCCCTTCGATTCCGACCGCTGCCGCCATGAAATCGCCCGTATGATCATCATGCATGATTACCCACTTCATATCGTTGAACACCCAGGTTTCGTTTCCTTTGTTCATAACTTACAACCGAGGTTTGACTTGGTCAACTTTAGCACTGTGCAAGGCGATTGTGTGGCGACTTATTTAAGCGAAAAGGATAAAATCCAGAAAGTGATTGAATCAATGCCGGGTCGGGTTTGTCTCACGGTTGACTTATACGGGTCGTGTCAAACCACGGGTTATGTTTATGTAACGGGTCAGTTTGTGGATAGTGAATGGAAGATTCATCGGAAGCTTTTAAACGTGGTAATGGAACCGTATCCCGATTCCGATTCCGCCTTTAGTCATGCGGTTTCCGCTTGTCTTTCCGATTGGAATATGGAAGGGAGGTTGTTCTCGATTACGATCAACCAACCCGTGAGTGAAATCGGAATCGAAAGTCTCCGGAATCTTCTCTCGGAAAAAAACCCGAACATCCTCGGCGGTCAATTACTCCTCGGAAACTGTCTTTCCCGTTCCATAAGCGGAATCGTATCGGAATCACTCGCCGCAAATCATGAAACCGTGAAAAAAGTACGTGATTGCGTGAAGTACGTGAAAACATCAGAATCGTTAGAAGAGAAGTTTTTATCCCTTAAACAACAACTTCAAGTCCCGAGTACAAAAACGTTAGCAATCGACAACCAAACGCAATGGAATACAACGTACGAAATGTTACAATCGGCATCGGAATTGAAAGAGGTGTTTTCTTGTTTAGATACCACCGATTCCGATTACAGTAAAGGCCCGACTCGCGAAGAGTGGAATGTAATCGAGAATCTTTGCGCGTATTTAAAGATTTTATATGACACCGCGAATCTTTTAACAACCTCGAGTGTCCCGACAACAAACACGTTTTTCCATGAAGCGTGGAAGATTCAACTCGAGCTGGCTCGGGCAGCCGCCAGCGAGGATCCGGTCATCAGCGGGCTGACCAAACCAATGCAAGAGAATTTCAATAACTATTGGAAAAATTGTTGTTTGATATTAGCAATCGCGGTAGTTATGGACCCACGTTTCAAGATGAAGTTAGTTGAATTTAGTTTCACAAAGATATATGGTGACGAGGCGCAAACGTATATAAATATAGTGGATGAAGGGATTCATCAGCTTTTTCTAGAGTATGTTGCGCTCCCGGTGCCGCTAGCGAATGGCGGTGGTCCGGTGACCGGAGAATTGAAAACGGAGGATGGGGATGGTGGGGGTGGAGGTGGAGGTGGTGGTGGGGGGCCGGGGTTGACGGATTTTGATATGTATATTATGGAGACGACAAGTCAGCAATCGAAATCTGAGTTGGACCAGTATTTGGAGGAGTCGTTGTTGCCACGTGTGCATGAGTTTGATGTGGTGGGGTGGTGGAAGTTGAATAAGGTGAAGTATCCGACACTTTCGAAGATGGCGAGGGATATTTTGTCGGTGCCGGTGTCGACGGTGGCGGCGGAGGCGGTGTTTGAGGTGGGGCGGCCGGAGATGGGGCGGTACCGGTGTTCGTTGAGGGCGGAGACGGTGGAGGCGTTGGTGTGTGCTAAGGATTGGTTGCGTGGTGAGATGGTGGAGGCGAGTAATGCGATGATTAAAATGGAGTTTCCGATTTGAAAGTTTGGTGGTTGTTTGTGTTTTTTTAGTGGTAGTGGTAGAAAGTGGTGAGTTTGTAGACTTGAAATTGTTGGGATGCTTGTGACAAACTTTATTGTACAATTTGAGTTCAAATTTGTGGGTATTTCGTAAAGCTATATTTTTTTTTTCTCGAGACTATTGATTTTTGTGATATATATTAAATTATTTAAAACTAGTTTCGTATTTTTCAAAGTTGTTAGGATCTTTATGATTCTTAATTATATTTAGATCGCTTTGGGTAATCTTATGTATGAATCTTCTCTGATCGTTTTTGGGTAAAATCGGGATATGATCATAGGATTGAATCATATCGTTATTATTTATTTTGTATAAAAGAATTCTAATATTTTATGTTGTCTAAAGCAATGTTTGGAACATCACAAAAATAGTTTATTTTTTCAAATTTTTTTAGATTGTTTGGTTTAAGAAATCAAAAATAATTTATAAGTTAATATTTTAAAAAGATATTCAGACCAGCATTTGAACAAGTTGATTGAGTTATTTAAAATTTTCCAAAATATACATTTTATTAGTTATATTAAACTTCAATATTCTACAGACATTTTTAGCTATTTTTATAATTTTTTTAGTTAGCTTATCAATTAATTTTATATCAAACATTTTTTTCTTCATTAAATGGTTAATCAAGTTGCAACTAACTTTTCAAAGGTCATGAGTTCAAGTTGTCTTTGACGAATATGATAATAACTAGATTAATTTGATGTTCCAAAAAATATTTTAGTTTAATCCATAAAATACAGTCTAAATAAATGAATGAATATGAACCCTAAAAAACCTCTTTTGATTTTTTTTATTGTTAAATAATATATCGAAGTGGTATTTTTATGTTTAAAACTATTTATTATTACTGATATGTTTCAATGTAATTTTTTTATGTTTTAAATTGTTTGTTTAGAATATTATTACAAAACGGAAAACAATTTTATATATATAGAATCATATGGAATTTTTAATAATTGAAGGATAAAAGAGAATTAAATATCATTCTATATTTTTTTCTACATATCTTTTTATTCATCTTAAATGATGATATATGTAATATTTAATGAAGATAATAATATATATTTTAATATAATAATGTGACAGATGTCATCATTTAAAATGTATAGGATCATTTAAAATGTATAGGATGATGTATAAAAATAAATATGCTGTAAATCAATTAGGTTTGAAGGAATGGATGCAGTAGAGGGTGCACTCCATTGTCATGTCAACTTGGAATACCACCCCCTTCCTACGGTTTTGGTGCGGTAGAGACCACTCCAAGGGAGCGCTTCTTTTTTTTATTATTATTGTCATTCCAATTGATGGTAATTAGTTAGATTATCAAAGGCTTCTAGCTCAACGGTATCGGGTGTTGCGTTCCCTCCTAAAGGTTGAGGGTTCAAGTCTCTTTGGAGATTATGTCAAATTAAGAGTAGTTTATAGATTAGAATACATTTGCTGTTAAAAAAAAATAATAATAAAAAAAAACAGATTAGTCAGATTAAAAAAAATGTTTTTTTTTTAATTATAATAAATGTGTCGACATGGCACCACTCTCTGTAACTTACAAAGCTACACAAGTTCTTTCTTTAAGCCTAAAAAAAAAAAGACGTCGTGCGTACTCTCTTCCCTGTGTTCACCTTCAACCGTCTCCCTCGCCTGGTCGCCTTCATCCTTCTCTCTTCAGACTTCGCCGGACCACCTGAAGACGGGCGCCGCCGACGACCCACTAGACGATCTACGTCGACTCACCAGACGCTTCCGCTGCTATCTCGCCTGATTTTCTCCTCAAAATAGGTTCTTTTCAATTTTCAATTGTGTAATTTACTATGTTGTTGAATTGTTATTTTCTTGTTGAACTTTAAAATTATGGCTGAATTTTTTCTTAAATGGTTAGTTGTTATGCCTATTAGGTGTTTGATTAAATGCCACAGTGAATTCCATTTTTTCAGATGGTTAGTTGCTATGCCTATTAGTTTCTTTATGCAATTACATGTGATTTGAATGCGATATGCGGCTATTCTAAGTGGTGCACCATCTGTTAGATAACAATAAATAAAATGGTTAATTTTGCAAAAAACATGATGATCATTTTTGTTAAATTTTCAAAAACTATGGTGTTTTGATAGTTACACAATCTTAATCCCTAACAATGAATTTCTTAATTATCAGGGTCTTTTTTGGAAATACCAAATTTTTTTAGACTCAATGGACCTCAAACCCTTTAGACTCGACATTGATGACCTTATCAATGAGTTTGCAAAGGTACTCAAAACAACTTCCCTTCCATTAATCTCTCTTTTATAGAATTCAAAGTTTTATATACTGTTTTTTTATGGAATTTGGGGTTTAATTATTTATTTCAGGGTGAAATGACTACATTAACTGATATGAAGAAAATATGGCTTTCTAAAAAATTCTCATGCATCTTCCAGGCTAAACCCAATTCAAAATTAGGTTTCTTTATGCAATCTCTTTATTCCCATTCCATAGGTATAAATTATAAATTATACACCCTCATTTTCTCAAATTAATTATTTAATAACTGACAATATACTGTATATATAATTATATGTATATTCTGATGCAGGTTACATGGTATCTAATTCTTCCATATCACACAGAATCGGAGGGCTTTATTGTCTTTTCTGCCTACATGAAACACAACCATTCAAGCCTCCCTTCAGAATCTATTTATGTGCAAGTATGTTGTTTTTTTATATAATCTTTTCTTTATTTTTAACCTCATGGGTTTAATTTTTTATTTGGTAGGGGAAATCAAGAGGCTTAAGGAACTTGTTGTTGATGCAAAAAAAGAGAATATAGAAATTGTATCAATTTTAGTTAAAAATATGTTAGAAAGGGATTTATTTCTTTATGGAGCTACTGATTTAAAACAAGGATCTGTTGAAGAAAGGGTGAATGAATTAACAAATTTACAAGATGCACGTGTTCAACATGCCAATAAAAAGTAAATCTTTAAATCTTGAATTTAACATTGAATTTAAATTTTGAATTTAACATTGTTTTAAATGTTAGGTTATTTAAAGACACGGAAATCGAACGTTACATTAACATGGACATGGTGAGTTGCTATTTTTTTTTTTTTTTTGGGAATATTTCATAATGATTTTTTGTGACTTTTAAGAATTGGATAATCTTTTTTGTTTTTTTAAGGATAAAGAATTTGATGTTGATTCACTCAAGAAAATGTCAAGAGATTATTATTCGGCTAAAGAGCTAGCTATAAAAGGTTTGTGAAAGCTTATAAATAAATAACTTGAGGTGTTAACTGAGTACACGAGTGAAATGACTGTTTTGCCCTTTACAGAAGCGGAAAAGGTGGTGGATACACGTGATATAAAGCACATTGCTGAAAACCAGATATTGATTGGGGATGTGATTGGGAAAACAAGTGAAGATTGGAATGTTGAGAAAGAAATGTTTTATAAGAAAACTGGACACGTGGCAGAAATCCAGAGCAAAGAACAACAAAATGGAAATGGAGAAGACTTTGAAGCAATTGAGTTTAATGAGAATTCAGGAGAGGAAGAGTATGTAAAAGATGACTTTTGTGATGAGTTAGAGCAACAATTATTAGCTTTAACATAATAAATCATAATCATAGCAATTGAATGGTTGTACTTTGTGATGAAGGGTGTTTTAGTCTTTTACTATGATGCATTGTGGATAGTTGCATAGAGTATAATCAAGAGATTTTCTTGGTAAAATTTGATTACAAAAACTATTTTATTATATAAGTTATTTTATCAATAATTTTATGCTAATTAGCACCGATAATCAAGTTAGTCAAGATGATTAAAAAATTGTATTGATGTGGGGAAAAAAATATCATTTTGTTTTGGTATATAATTGAAAAGAGATTATTTGAAGCTACACATGACTTTTATTTTAATAGAAATAATATAATTATGTGGTGGATAAATCCAAAGGGTCACTCAAATCGTCACATTTGAGAACTTGTGTTTTGTGTGATGTTGGATTTTTGGTTATTAGCTCTTTTGAGAATCATGTTTATTGGTTGGGAAATTTTAGAGTTTGCTTGATTTATGTAAATTGTTTTTCGTTTTTTTTTTATTTATTATTTATTTTTATTTTTATTTTTTTTTCGATCATAAACCATATTGACTGGTATGGCTTCGAATAAGGTTTATGATCTTTGGTTGTAACTAAATTAAAACAAATTTTAAATCCATTTTCCGGTTTGATTTTCGAGTCGAGAGGTTTTGACAAAAAAAAATTAAAAAAAAAAAAATTTAAATCCCTTTTTGCTAGAATAAAACGGATACAACATATAAATGCAAATATAGGTTTAAATATCTAATAAAATTATGATTCAAAATGTCATAACCATAAAGGTTTCAAAATCTTGCATTATTTCTGTTGAAAAAACACACTTCAAAAACATGAAATGGTCAATATATTTTTTTAATTATTTCTAGAAGGCAAACAAATCGTTTATAACATATTTAACCGAATATATGAAATTTCTGAAAATTTTCATCACTATGCAATTTTTTTTTTAAAAATAGGAATTATTTCTAAAATTTTGTAAAAAAAATTCATGAAATTTAAATAATTATTTTCATGCTTTATTGACTTAATTCTATCATAAGTAAGACGTAAGGTACAAGTTATTATTGAGCCAGGCCCTGATTAACGTTATTAAATGGGCTACAAGCTTTTTTCGAACATCTAGAAGCTCAGAAGTCGAATGGACGATTTTACCCTACAAAGACCTTCGATCAGCCATCTTCTATCATCAACAAGAGCAGGGGCAGTTTCGTCTTTTGATCATTCGATGCTTTACCCTCTCCGCCTATATAAGGCCAGAGCTACAAAAACTAGGGTATAAAAAGCAGATCTCATTCTCCCTCTGCACCAAAGTTTCCACTTTCCACAACCTCAACGAGCGGAAAAAAAGTGAGTCCGATTCTCTATAAATCATCAATTTAAAACTCAATTGATTTCATATTGAATGATATATGCGCGTTAACTGTGTTGATTTATGTCTATATTGAAGATTCTCGTGCGAAATTATGCGATGCCTGCTGTTTGTTTCAGATTTTGAGTTTTTGTTTGTTTGATTCAAAATTCTGACATCTCGCTTTGTTGGTTATGTCATCGTGATTTCGATTTCGGATTCGAAGTTTCAGATTATTTTTGGGTGTTTTCTTTGAATATGGTAGCTCGGTTGCTTCGTATCATAACACTAAAAATGTCATGTTTAATTTGTGTCGTTTTGCAAATCGAAGTACGCATGAACGAACTTCATATTGTGTATGAGTGAATATCTAATTCAGGTTTAGAATTTCTGTAAAAATATCCCCAAGCGTAGATTTTGATATCTTTTGATGAATGAGAAATGAGAAATGAGTTTTTTCTTTCATCTTGTACAACATGATAATTATGTTGGGATTTGATTTAGCAGGTTGTTGATTAAGAAGAGAAATCAAATGGCAACATTTGAGTTGTATCGTAGGTCAACAATTGGAATGTGTTTGACTGAAACTTTGGATGAGATGGTATCAAGTGGGATTCTTGGTCCTGAGCTTGCTATCCAAGTTCTTGTTCAGTTTGATAAGGTCTCTTAACTCTTCAGAGCTTCTTCTTCTTCTTCTTTTTTAACTATGTGTTAATTAAGTGTGAAGGTAGTATGTGTATTGATGATTATTTAGTCTATGAGATTATGAGATATCATGTTTTGTTGGTTGTAGTCAATGGCTGAAGCTCTGGACAATCAGGTTAAGACCAAGGTCTCTATTAAGGTAAATAATTTCCATCTCTTTAACTCTGGTGTGGAGACAAAATGACCATTACACCCTTTACATTCCAGTTAACAAATTTCATAATATCCATCAATGTGAACATGAGATAAGTTACATAAGGTAAAGAGTTAGTGTCTTGATATACATTCAGTCTTAGGCTTTGGCTTAAGCATGTAAAGAGTTAAATGACGATTATACCCTTGGTGTATGGATGCTGATGTTTTTTGTTTATATAATGACACAGGGGCATTTGCACACGTACAGATTCTGTGACAATGTGTGGACATTCATTCTTCAAGATGCTCTGTTCAAGTATGATGAATGTCAGGAAAATGTTGGAAGGGTTAAGATAGTGGCATGTGACTCAAAATTGCTTGTTCAATGAGAAGATTATATGTGATTTGGTAAATTTTTAAGCTTAGAATCAATGAATGAATGTTAATGTCTTAATGAATGAAATATTATGGGGTTTGTTCCTCTGTTGTAAACTTATCATGGAACAGAGTGAATTCCATACAATTTCCCCATAAACTCACTCACTTGTGTCACTCTAATTTCATTTCACTTTTTTTTTGGCTTTTCAAAAGTGATTATTTCGCCGTTTTTGTAACTATTTTAAAGGTATAAATATTGGGAGAAAAAAAACATTAAATGGACTAATGAGGAAAGGTGGACATTTGACCATTATATATGAATGTTTCCATAAAACGAGCTAATTCATACAAACACTTGAAAGAACTTTGATTTAAAGAAAGACCTTGAAATGAATATCACAAACACTACGAGATTTAACATTTCTTGCGATTTTTTTTATATATTTTATTTATTTATTTATTTTTTGTTGTTGTTGTTGTTGTTGTGTAGAAACTTATATTGAAGTCATATCATTATGTAATAAATTTTCATGAGCCGGTGATTTTGTTATAAGACCTCACCATATTTGGTTGATATAGAGATTGGTCTTAGTAATAGAAAGAACTGTATTAAATCCTTGCAATTAAATTCAAGGCGTATCAATAAAGTAATGCAATAAAATTGAAAAATTATTTATAGTATTTGACAATATCGGCTTATATAATACCAAAATGCAATAAAGTTAAAAAATTATTTTTTAGTGTTTGACAAATTTCGCTTATATATGTAAAATGACCAAAAAGACAGTAGTGAAATGGTAAATTAGTTACGAGAAAAGAAATTTGAGGTTACAATCCATTTGTGTTTTGTAATGTGGAATCGTTAGGGTTTGCATTAGTTTTGTATGAATAGATGCAAATGTTACATAAAACGACCATATATATTATACAATGTGAACAAATAAATAATACAATGTTTAACACACCTCCTTAATTGGAGCAAGGGTTTACAAATGATCAAATGTCCCAAAAGTTCAAAAATAATTGTATAGGTATTCTTTAGTAAATATATTTTCAAATTGATCAGTTGATGACACGTGCAACACACAAACTTGCCTAATAGCAACATGTTCTCTAAGAGAATGTAAATCGATATCCAAATGTTTGTTATTTGGTGTGGACTGGTTAGGGGCTAAATACATGACAATCATTATTACAAGAGAACAATAGTAACACGAGATAAGGGGAAATACAACTTGAGAAGAAGGTTTCAAAGCCAAGCGACAACTTATTGGTGTTTAGATGATCACAAGATGAGGTTGTCACCAAGATAGACCCAAAACTTGGACAACCCGATTAGTATTAGAGTAAGAGACCAAAAAATCAGTACGAAATAGATGAATCTTAAG